CTTCAGAAATGAGATTCTCTAGATAAAAGCAGCATTGTTAAGCATTCTTTAGGTGTTGACAAAAGCGTTTCAGCTATTGTTGCTGCTATAAGAGTTTGGGGAAAAATCACATGTTTGTGGGGGATAAAAGGACAAAGAAGATAGAAAATATCATTTATCTGAAATTACTTCAACTGTGTATTTTCTCACCCTTACAGATTTTATTGTAAAGTCCTTGTTTTCTTCTCAACTTTCTATGTAATCTAGAGGTTTCTCAGGGCCACTTCTTCCCCTTCTCCTCATCATTCCCTCTCCCCCCAAAAGGAGTATTTGGCTAAGTATCAGAAGCACAGCTCTGAGTAAATGAAATGATCCTTTGTGCTGCTCTGCAAAATTAACAACAGCAAGGCAAATCAGCCAGCTGTATTCCACTTTTTCAGCGAAGTCGCCACCAAGATCTGTTTGGCAAACATTTTCCTTTGAAAGAGCAGCTAATGATAGTATTTTTGCATGGCAGGAGAAGCTTAAAGTTTGGGGAGATGACACTGACCACTCAGTACTGTGTAAACTAGGGCTGAAGTTTTTAGCAGGTGAAGCTGGCAAAATGTCTTCCAGAAGGAGTCTTACCTCATTTTAATGTTGCTTTAAAAATAAAAATAAAGGATACACTCCTCTTTCTTCACTTGGTTTCATTTGATTGGTCTGGGTTAAGGCTGCAGGGTGTCTGGGATAAGATTAGGCCCAAAGGCTCTTGATTCAGGGGCATGTTAATATGCACACGTTTCTCCATGTGTTTTCAGACACATGGAGAAAATGTATTCTCAAAGTTTCTCAGACAAGTTTCTCCATGTGTGTGTTTTCAGACAAATGGTTCTGTGAGATGACTGTGTGAAATGAAAGGCAGTGGCTAGGATGCTAGCCTGGGGTTTGGAAGATCCACTGCCAGGGTAGATTTGATTCAAAATAAATCAATTTAAATTAAAAAATGGATTTAAAATTTTAAATGGTTTTTTATTTAAATCAATCTGCTTTTTTTTTTAATTCTTTGGGCTATCATTCTTTCTTACTTCAAGAGTTGTCTTAAGGATAAAGTTGAGAGGGCCCTGTGAGCTTGCCGAAGGAAAAACAGGATATAAGGGAAGGGGAAGGAGGGGCCTCTAATAGAGCCAAACACCAGTAAAACAGCGCATTAAATACACAATAGGAAAGTAAATTTGGGGCCTCTCTGAGTTGCCCAGTTAGCATGACTTGGTTACTGATACTGTATTGGGAAGATCCTCCTCCTCCTCCATGAATGGAAGAACTTGTGTTCCTTGTTTAAAAGGGGGAGTGTGTAACAACAAAAAATGGTAAATATAAATAGCTCTTATGTAGCTGTGGGTGGGGTATGTGAGAGGAATTGTATATAAAAAGTGCTAGTGACCACTCTCAAACGTCCTGTTTAGAGCAATTTGTTCTCCTCCTTGAAAGCTGACTTCAAATGAGGACTGGGTGCAGTCCAGCGCCATTAAAATAATGGGAATGTTGCCATTGACTTCATTGGGGTGGAGACCGAACCCATTGTCAGGGCTTCCCCCCCTCCCACTATTAAAGCTTTTCAGAGACGGGAGGGGGAGACTTCTGCTTTTATTCAAGTATGTCTGACACACACAAAAAAAACGTCTTCCAAGTCCATGGGAACCAGAAAGTGAAACTAGCTGTGAACAAAAGAAGGCTGACCTCTTAAGACGCATTGTCAAAACTGAATGGCAAGAGTAAATACAATTAAGCTTTTGGAATTCATTTATTCTTAATAATTTAGAAGGGAATACTTGCACAGTCCTGTTGGATTCTGAGATCTTGCCTCCTTAAAGTATGCTCTTGGAAACAAACAGAGAAATCTCTGGTTCACTCGTATCAAGTGTATATTGATTAACATGGTGTAATTTATGGTTCTTGCAAACTCTCTTGGTATAATAAATTCTCTATAGGCATTAATAAAACCTTCATTTATCCTGAGAATATTTTCACACCAAAATATTTTTTTCATCATAGTAAGTGGTACTATAATGGCAGGACTTTGTCAGATACCTTCACACACAGCTGTGTGTACAACACGATCTCCGCCCACCCCGTACTGCCGAGAGTGCAACTCTGTGCAAATACTAGTTGTTCCAGATGTTGTAAGGCAGCCTTGCCTTACAATATTTGGAAGAAAATGAGGTGATGTACAAAGGTCTTTCAAGAAAGCTCTCTTTGTAGTGGCACAGAAGTCTTACATTTCCTAATCACATCACTGACTGTAGTAGAAAAATACAAGAAGGTCCGGGGAGTATAGTACAGAGGGAGTGTCAGGATTTGTATTCCTGTAGGAGCCTCTGCGTGGTGGAGAGATAAGGAACTATTCCTCTAACAAACCAGAAGGTGGGATTACGATTGCTGGCATGGTTCAAATAAAATAGTTTCCCCCAATTCTGCTGTACCCATGCTCTCATACAGATAGGAGTGGGGGCTCCCTGTTCACACACAGCCAAATGTGCAACATGGGCTCTACCCACCCCATACTCATGCGAGTACAGCTCTGTACAGACACATGGAGCAGTTGTTCAAGATCTGTTTGCATGGCGTCTCTGCCTTAAGGAACAGAGGAGGGGTAAAACAGCTGCATGGGGGATCTTTGTGCTCGCTCCATCATTCATTTGGAATCCCAGGTCCTAAGTGCATCATCTTTGTAATGAAGGGGAGAGGTGCTAGAAGATGTGCGAGTTTCAGTCTACTTTGCTAAGTTTTTGTCATCTCAGATATTTTGGAGACTCTACATATCATAATAGCTCTTGCCTTTCAGCACATTGTTATTTGAGTATTCTTTGGTGACATGAGAAAATGGAACATGCTACAAATGCCATATGCAGTGGTGAAATGGAATTTATCATTACTCTTATTGTCATGGTTACTGCAAGTACAGTAACAACTTAGGCTATGCAGGTGTGGATAACTCCATAGTCTTTGATATCCACACTAGCACTTATTCAGCGGAGCACACAGAAATTTTAAAGTATCACTTCTGTTCTTTGGCTGGGAAAGTTAAATTGTCACAATGTTTTAGGGTAAAACTAATAAAGTGTTTGCATGGGTTGGGGTGATGTCATTATGCTACACTTTCCACTTAGATCACTACTGATCTTTAGCCTAGTATATAATTGTTGCTTCTTTGATCTTCTGCTTTCTGGCCTGTACTGTTTCTTTTCTTCATGTAATGTGACTTAACCAGCATTTTCTTTGAAATGGTCCATTTATATTTATGGGATTCTTCACCTTCTTAGCTGGCAGATGTAATGGACTCATTTGTCTCCATCAATACTGAATTGATTAGTAGACAATAATCAGCCTACCTTGCCTGAAGGATTATCTGAGTAGAGAAGTATAGTCCAATTCTATAAGTGGACATTCTTACAACCTGGGAATATCAAGGCAAATACTGTTGTCCCTATTCTTAAGCCCCAGGGGGGGCACTATTGGCCCCACTGAACTGCCATGCCTTATCCTAATTCCAAACTGCAGAACTTCAGCAATAGGTTTGTGGGCTCCCCGCCTGCCCATTTTTACTTTGAAGCATGACACGTAGTGAGTGCGCAAAAGAGACACAAAAAAGGAGAGGCAGAGTATTTTGCCCATGTTCTTCATTTAACACCTCTGCCTTACAAACTGTCTACACATCAGAATTTACAATCATCCCCCCCAAATTGGACAAACATGAAGCAGCCTGCAGGCAGCAGAAGGCCATGCTGCTTGGGGCTCTTTCAGAGAAAAACTTCAGGCACATGATGGTGGCTTTAAAGTTAGAGAAATGAGAGGCAAGCATTCATATACTGTATAACATGAAAGTTCCACTGCCTCCACTATCAAACTGTTTAGCAAATCACCTCAGCGTGGTGCCATTTAGTGCAGGGAAAATTGCCCCAGAGGGAGACCACAGCTGCGATACAAGGACTCCTGCAAGCGGGATCTGAAGGCCTTAGGAATGGACCTCAACAGATGGGAAACCTTGACGTTGAGCGTTCAGCCTGGAGGCAGGCGTTGCATCACGGCCTCTCCCAATTTGAAGAGACCCTTGTCCAGCAGGCTGAGGCAGAGAGGCAGTCACGAAAGCAGGAAAATCAGGGGGCTCAACAGGGGGCAGATTGTATTTGTCTTCAGTGTGGAAGAGATTGCCACTCTCAAATTGGCCTTCTCAGCCACACTAGACGTTGTTCCAAGTCCTCCATACAGAGCACGTTACCATAGTCTCTTGAAACTGAAGGATGCCTAATCTGGTGCCATTTAAGTGTGCATTTGTGAAAGCATATCAGTGGTACTTCACACATTTTTATTTAAATATTCTGTCATACTCTTGGGAAGGTTGGTTAGGTTACATGGCTTAAAATAAGATTTCATGGCTTTTTTATAAATAAACTTGTGTCCCTTTTTCTATTGTTATATTTGCATATTTTTAAATCCTTCCCTCTGATATACCTCCTGAAGAAAAGGTCAGATACTTCAGATAATGTAGCTTTGCTCACCAAGTTGCCTCAAAAGATCATTATAGCAATGTGACATCACTCTTGCTGAATTGTTATTTCTTTTTCCTTTCTTTCTTCTCTCAGCCACCTGATGTCTCCACCTTATCATTTTTCTCTAATCAGTGTCCATTTGGACTGTGTTGACCTTATTTCTTTTATCTTCAAATTTGGTTTGTAAATTTTTCTGCAGGGAAGAGTCACTAGATATTTAGAGATTCAGGTGTGTAAGGGAAACCAGCACAGACCTTTACTATTATTTTTGTTATTCTTTTGACTGGCCTTAATAGTAAGACAGCCAGATGTTGTAGCTGCATAAATAGCTAAAGGAGTAGAAGTAGACAATATGCATGTTGTATGGCCAAATGTGCAAAGAAGGCCATTTTGTTTTAATTAAGGTGAGATGCTGTTTTTCAAAAAGGAAGAAAACACCTTTCTACAATTCTCAAATCTCTGGAATTTGTTTTTTTCTCTCTCTCTCTTTAGAAAGCTCCAATGGCTCAAGATTTAAGACCATGGTATTCACAACAAGTGTATGCAAGATACTGGAAACATTACAACCAAGCCATGGAGTGGATGCATAGACATAAAATTGCTTACAGGAAATCCATGGAGTCCTTGTATCATCCATTGTTTTGTTCTGCTGAAAACTATTCTGGTAGACGGTACCCAGACTGGGAGGAAGATAACTCCCTGAGACAAGGTGCCACTGCTCAAAGCAACAAAACCTGGAGCCCTCAAAGGCCTCAACGTGCCCCTCAGAACATCAGAAGAGAGATGCCAGAAAGGGACTCTGAAACTGAAACAGAATCTGAAGGTGAAGAGGATGTGGAGTATGATTTGAGCAACATGGAAATCACGGATGAGCTGCGCCAGTATTTTGAGCAGACGGAGAGGCACAGGGAAGAGTTGCGTAAGTGCCTGCCTCTTGCCATATTTGTTGTTTGCATTAATGCTGGTTATATTGCTGTTTGTTTATATAATAAAATTCTCAAGGGGGTTCCATTAAAATACAGCTGAGTTACTGCATGAAAAAAAGGTGGTTTAAGATACACTTTGAAGAGAGAATAAGTACAACACTTAAAACCATTCCCACAATGACAGGGAAATACATCAGTGGTCGTCAGCTGGAGAAAGCCTGTATAAACCAGCTATGTTTCCAGAAAACATTTAAGACTAAATAAAGGTCCTGCCATGTGGGGAGAGTGTTCAAGAGAGTGGAGATTAGCACAGAGAAGGACAACCTTTGCAGTGTTACACGATGATATTCTGTTGGTGGTGGAGCAACTAACAAAACATTCTGATTTCATAGATAACAGTGGTGCCTCGCAAGACGAATTTAATTCATTCCGCGGTTAATGTTGTCTAGCGAAAAATTCGTCTTGCGAAACGCATTTTCCCATAGGACTGCATTGAAATCTAATTAATGTGTTCCTATGGGCAAAAAAAGTCAGTACAAAATCAAATTTGGTTTACAAAGGGTTTAGTAAGTGCTCTTTAAAGCCGTACATATTATGCAGATGATTTAAAAAATTTCAATGAAAAAACTTTAACTTTTTAAACCTCATAGAAAAACATTTAAAAATCAGCAAACATGAGGCAAGAACAAAAAACGGAAAACATTCTTCTTGCGAAGCACGGCCATAGGAACATTTTCTTGCGAGTCATCAATCCCATTGCCAAAACCATTTGTCTTGCGAGTTTTTTGTCCTGTGAGGCATTTGTCTTCCAAGGCACCACTGTAATTGGGTATACATATGGAAAAGGTGTCTGCTAAATATCCTGATCTTGAGGTGTGTTAGGTATAATGCCTTGAACATGGGTTCATGTTCAGCCAGTCGGCCAATAAAATACTTCCTTTTTTTTATCTGTCACTTTAGATCAGTTACCTAGACCTCTAGAAGCTGTGCATAGCATTTTCCCAATCCCGAGGTCACAAACTACCGAAGCGGTAAGCCTAAGAGGTGGTGACTTGCTGAAGGCCAATGCATAGTCTTCAAAGCTAAACGGGATTTGAGCCCAGCCCTTTCAATGCTTGTCTGCAATGCCATCCTATATTTCTATTCTATTTCAATGCATGATGTGGCAGAAAGTAAACGACAAGCTTTTATAAGAGATAAGTTTTTAAAAAGAGAAAACTTAGTTGATTAATGGAAATTTTTTTCTAAACAATGAATATTAATTTGGAAACATAATTCTCAAGTAAGAAGCGTTATTGTTTGAATGTTTAGGTGATGGACAAAAGCACTGGAACAGATGCAAGGAAGGAGTCTGTTGCAGGACCACAGAAGGGTTGTAGTAGGAGTTAAAGTTGCCTATCCTCCATGCTAGGGTCCAAAACTAAATGATGTCGCTTGCAGCTAATTCTCCATAAGGAAAAGACACCAGTGAATATTGGCTGTTAAGGGTAATGTGTAGTTTGGTCATGGGTTCTTTGCTGATATGAGATTTGAACCAGGAGATTCCCAAGTTCACTCTTGCAGCATCAGATGGTTTAGCTGTTGTTTTAAGTAGAGTAAGAACCAGAGGCTCTTATGGAGAGAAAGTCTCATACTGGCTATGCTTCCATTTGGAAGTCCTATGCTTTCTTGGAAGCCCTTCAGTCTGGCAGTGGAATTCCACACAGGGTTTCCTTTGTAATTCTACACACATGTGAGGTGGTTTTGTATGGATTTTGTAGAGCTGCTGTTTTTCTGTTTCTCTTGATTTGATGGGCATAATTTTATGTGGCGTTTTTTTTTTCCCCCTGCAAAAGCCAGAGTCTCGCGCTAGAGCAACATTTTGAAATACTGGAGGAAGAAAACCTTACTTAGTTAATCTTTATACTTTAAAACTACATTCCATGAGAATGCTGTCAGCACTCTTTTAAAAATCTGGTGCTTTTATGGTTAGGTTTAACAGAATCATGGAGTGATCCAAAGGAAATTCCTAGCTGCATTGTTGAAATCTGGAAGACAGCCCTGGTGTTGCATACCATGTAGATAAATGAATTTGATTTTTGTCTTATTTTGGCTTAGTTCCGCAATGTAAAAATGCCATCCTCTGGGTACATCTGGTTCAGTCTAGTGCCAGATGGGAATTCCCTCTGCGCCCTATTTTTATGATCAGAATTAGACTCTTAATTCTAGAAGACAGAAGCGTTTGGGCAAATGAACAGTATCTTCTCAGTGCAAACCTTTATTTAAAATGTCAGATTTGGAAAGGCTTTTGTAGCTTTTATTGGGTTGGCACAAATCACAGTGTGAAGGAAATCATTTCCCCCTTGTGAGTTTTTTTATTGATGCAGTCACAAAATGTATTGCCTATTTCCTAGGACAACATAGCTTCTCATTCAGCAAGAATCTTAGTTGCTTTTAAGAATAATACTGTAGTATAAAAGGTAGGGATCTTTTTCCAGCTCTGTTATAACTTGGAAATGGTGCCGCCTGGGTGGCCCCATGGGAGCTGGTAGTGTGGAAGAGATGCACTCTCTGTGCGTTTAATTACACAAAGCTATTGATTTTGCAGAGTACAGTTTTTAAGCTGAACAAGATTTCAGGATAGAATTTGATTACACTGAATGCTGTAATCACATTATCTTGTTTTCATCTTCCATCCTCTGCACAAAATCCACATAGTACATATTGATACAGAAGAAACTGTGTCTTGTTCTTCTATTGGTTTTTTTAAAACACTAGACATCATCACGTTCTCTCTGTTGAAAAATTCTACCCTGCTATCTGGAATTGAATGAATCTAGCTGCTTTATTGGCCTGATGACAGTCAGGGGGCCCAGATTCTGTACATGCACAATCTGTGTGCTCCTTTGTTTCCAGAAGGCTGTACACTTCTTTTTTCTCCCCAGTCTCCTTTATTATTATTATTATTATTATTCAGTCAGTCAGTCAGTCAGTCAGTCAGTCAGTCAGTCAGTCAGTCAGTCAGTCAGTCAGTCAGTCAGTCAGTCAGTCAGTCAGTCAGTCAGTTAGTTAGTCAGTCAGTCAGTCAGTCAGTCAGTCAGTCAGTCAGTCAGTCAGTCAGTCAGTCAGTCAGACAGTCAGACAGTCAGACTGAATCTTTCAAACCTTCAGGCAGTTCCCTGGTGACCACTGCAGCTGTTGCTCCCCCATTCCTTTCTGCAGTCCAGAGCATTTCTTCTTTTTTGACTAGGTTGGCTGAAATGCAATGAAGAACCATGAGTACTTGTCTGTTATAACAGCACACTGCCATGAGCTTCAGATTTTCAAATTCCCTTTCTTTTCTGAGCACTTGACGGAGGCATTCTAAAGCTTCCACTTCTGCTTTTGAAATAAGCACATTTCCATTGCATCCAAAGGGCTGATGATTTGTTGAGCCTTTGGTTAGGGTCACCAGGGTCAAGTAATGGTCTGAAATGCTTCTTGGCCAGGCTAACTGACTGGCATTACAGCAAACCACATGATGTTCCCAAATGTAGACATAATAGGCAGACATTGACACCTATGGCAGAGTGAAACACCCCTGTAACCTCAGTAAGAGAAAATATTGAATGCTTATTGACTTTCTCGAGGGCATCCTGCCACAAAGTGGTGAGTCCAGACCTCAAGGAAGGGACCCTGAAATGGCTAATTATGACAAGTGAAAAAGGGAGAGCCGAGGCACAGTTGTTATAAATGAAGAAGAGGTACTGTAATGCTGAAGACTTACTCTGAGGAACAAACTGGAGGTTTCAGGTGGCAGACCACTAGAGTTGGAGTCATGTTAATGTTCCAGCATTAAATTTGTCAACAATTTGAACTATAATAGCTCTTCTGTGTGATTGGACCAGACAGACTATCCTTCACTCCACATGTACATCCATGAGCCTTGGGTGCCTGCAGCCCTGACACTGTTTACCAGTTGTCCTTCCTTGCACCGCTTTTGGCACAGTGGACCCTCGACTTAAGGAATTAATCCATATTGGAACGGTGGCCGCGGGTCGAAAAGTCTGTAGGTCAAGGGTCCGTTTCCCATAGGAATGTACTGAAAACCATTTAATCTGTTCCAGCATTTAATCCGTGCCGGCTTTCGGCTTCCCGGGCTTCAAAACTCCCTCCGCTGCCCTCTGTCTCCTCTCTGTCAAGGGCAGCGGAGGGGGTTTTGAAGCCCGGGAAGCCAGAAGCCATCAGCGGGCGTGGAGCGGCTAGAGGGCAGCGGAGAGGGGGTTGAGGGAGGCAGAGGGCACCATGGACAGGAGACAGAGGGCAGCGGAGGGGGGTTTGAAGCCCAGGAAGCCGGAAGCTGCTCTGCGCCCGCTGCCGGCTTTCGGCTTCCCGGGCTTCCAAAGTTGCCCCCACTGCCCGCTGTCTCCCGTCCCCATTGCCCTCTGCCTCCTGTCTCCGGATGGAAGATCCCTGGACCGGGGCTTGGGCGAAACTGAGGATACCAAAAGAGGAGGCAGATTACAGGCGAAGGAGAGAGATTCCCCAGAGACCATCATATTTGGGAGAGGCTGAGGCCAGGGAGTGGAGAAAGGAAGCTGAGAGAAGGAAAGGCAAGAGAGAAAGGAGAGAGAGGTTGGAATGGAGGTTGAGAGAAATGTGGACGAGGGACTACTGAGAGGACCCTAGCAGACACCCACACCCTCCGGATGCCTCGTGTGGGTGGACGACCAGGATGAAGACACCATGCCTTTGTTGGAAGGTGAACCGGAGCAAGCGGTAGACCAGAATTGGTCTATAGACTGGCCAGGTCCATGGGACACAGGTGAAAAGAACCCGTTCCTAGGAGAAGATTGGAAAACCCTGCCCCCAACCCATTGTCAGAAGGAGAAAGACATTGGAACAAGCCTGTTGATACCGGTTATCTGTCAACTACTCCAATAAACCTTACTCCTGTTTCAAAAATGCAAAAGTTTCCCAGTTTATTTGAACAACAAAAGGAACCAGAAACCAAACCCGCCCATTCACTTGTCGC